CATACATACAATTATTTAAATATTAATTATAATTTCAGATCCTAATAAAACTAGTAACCTATTCTTTGAATATGTTCGCATCAAGGAATTAGTAACAGAAGCTAAAAACGGAAGACATTTATTTTGGCTATACAAAAACGTTGTCAATATGCAAACCAAGTATAGGTTAGAAATGAACAGGTATACATGTGGTTATTTAAAAAATAAATAAATAAAGTAAAAGATAGGACCTTTTATCGTCTGTTTCTCTTGTTAAGACACCTTGGACAGGAACCTGATGTAGTAGATTCTGCATATTTCTCAGCTCAGCATAAATTATGGCTTTATTGGCATAACCTGCCATTCAATGCGAATACTTCGCCACTTGAAATTAATCAAGATTTACAAAATGTACTTACTCCTAATTTTAATCAGTATGCTTTAGTAAAAAAAAAATCAGGACAGTAATGACGCATTTATATTCGTTAAAACAATTATTCTATTGTTTTTCAATTTAGATTCTTAAAATATGATAATGATATATAACCTTTATGTAGCGACGTGCATATAACCTATACATACATATATATATTCGTGATAACCTGAAATAAATATATATATATATATAAATTATTATTAGGTAAACGTTTGCTAAACCTAATTTTGATGAAAGACAAAAGGGATATTTTGTAGATAACAGAGATCGAAGAGTTATTTGGATTTCCACAGCACTACACTAAAGTTAAACATTTATCTGTGATTAAACGCTGAAAACTAATCGACATGTCGTAGAGCGTACAAACGCTTGCCGCCATATTGCTATCGTTGCGCTCTCTATACGAGCAAAATTAACTAAAGACGACTAAAGGGATCATTATAATTTTCATTTTATTTATATTTTTATAAGACGATGATACTTTCTTATCAATAATCGAAAAATGAAGAGAAGTATTATATAATTTCAAAAAAAAAATGAAATTAATTCAAGATAATATATTTGAAACGTTGATAATGAAGAATCGAATTTAATTCTATAAAAGGTTATGTTTAATTATGACGAATCGAAAAGGTTATTTTTTTTAAACAAACCAATGTGATAACAAATTGTCAGATGTATGTTTTATTCATCGTTAAACGTACTTTTTTTTTCTCTTTTACATAATGAGGTTAAAAAGAAAACAGCGGACGACATTTTTTTTTTACAATGACAAATGGAAAAGAATAAATTTAATTTGAGTGTCACTTTGTACTCTCTTGTGTATTTTCATGAGATTTTTTTTTGTATAAGTTTCACCTTGTGAGCATTGAACGATTAAAATAGTTTTTTTAGTTTCTTTAAAATAGAAAAATCAACTCGACGTTCGTCTATTTTGATATCTCATACGGAAATAACCTCTACGTGGATCACGACTCGTTGGTAAAGCATCGTTTCCACCTGCATATGGTACATTGGGTTGATTTAACTGAAGTAAATTAATAGGCACAGGTATGGATCCTATTAAACAATTAACATGTCGCATAAGTGACAGCGGTAATGGCGTATTTATATACAATTCTTCTTTTTCCATATCAATACCTCGAATTATTCCTGGAGAATCAGATAAAATCAATGAGATTAAATTAGTATCATTGAATAGAATAATTATAAAAAACAAAAAAAATTCAATGCGGAGAAAAAAACGTATAAGATAGCAATATTATAATTATTTGTAATTTACCATAGCCATAACAGGCGCATAAAGGTGCTCTTGTTAATATACGAGGTTTTGATGAAGTAGCTTCTTGCAATAAATCACTTGTTAAATCAATGCCACACAGAGCGACCATGTTACCATTGATTACAGTTAATACACGTGAAGGCGGTACGCATTCTCGTAGTAGAGCGATAGTTAAAGAAGCAAAAGGTGCCCTGTAAAAAAAATACATATATATATATATATATATATATATATATATATATATACACATATGTATATGTATGTATGTATAAATCATTTTAATAAGATGAACTTCTTCATAGCGAATGTTAGCGGAAAATATATAAATATTGTACGTCGATACGAAGCAAAGTTATTAAGTGACATTATACTAACACATATGGTACAACTTCGTTAATGCTGAGTGATGTTAATCTGGTATGGAATCTAGAAAATTTTTATTTAAAAGTTTAACATTTCATTGGAGAAAGAAAATAAAATAATTTTCAATATCTCACGTAGAATTTCCACTGGAATTTAAAATTCCACTTAGATATGATATCATTGCTAGTTCACGTTGTTGATAAGGCTCCATATTCCATGAATCATTCGTTGATTCATATTTCTTCTCGGCATTTGTATTTATAACCTGCAGCTCATGACAACATGGTTCATTCCAAACCGTAATATTTTTACTCCATGAAAAGCCTGTAAAAGTCTATGGAAAACAATTTTATTTTCATTCATTACTACTTGAATTTTTTTTTATTTTAAATTTTTTACGAAAATGATAGCACCTACCTGTTGATTAATAATATCGCAACTCAGTAAATTGGGATAATTATTTTTTGTCCTTTCAGACATTATTTGTAAAACGAATGAAGGCCGAAAAAGTTTAATCGTAAATACTACGATATCCCATCCTATTCCTTGTGTAAAACCCATTGTATTTACAATTATAGGTAAACGTGACATGATCGGACAACTTAACAATTTATTCGCCAACAACTTAACGCATTCGATGTACCTCGTAATACAACGAGTCACATTCACATCTCCTATGTACAACTGATAAACTGGCATCTTTAAATGTGTAAAATTAGGTCCAGTTAATGGTTCCTCAATCAAACTATAGGATATACTGCCAGGCGGTGTACATTCATTTTGACCAGGATCAACGTCCACCAAAACGACCATCCGAGAAGTCGGTAATAACGTGTTTATCAAATAACGTACAGTTGTAGATTTCCCAACATTTTTACCACCTGCTATTAATGTACATGACCAATCATTTGAACGCCAACGATTAAGAATTTTTTCAGCAAGTATTCCTGTGACAGTCGGATCGATTATCAATTTTTTATAATTATGATTATCGAGATAAAGATTGGATTGCAATATCATTTCAGCTCTCCTTGTGTCGGTCCAGGAATAATTTTTGACATTGCGAATTTTTGGAAATAATTTTATTGGATAGTAAGTATTAACGAATCCTGTTAAATTATTTTCCAAATTCCATAAAATGATCACTGTCATACCCGGTTTGCATTGATTGATATCATATTGCAATGCATTTTTTATGTCAGGATTAATACCCTCTGGAGATAAAGATGTCCAGATATCTTTAACGTTAGATATCAAAAATTTATTACTTGTTTCTACTGTTATAAGACTGTATCCTTTAGGAGAATATACTTCTATTGGAGGATTTGAGGTAGTAATGTGAGATCCATAAACTTCTATAGCACCATACAATACATTTATCATTAGCTTGCCAGTAAAACAGAAACTTGTCCTTTCTTGCATAATCATTAATACTTTATTATGCAAACAATATAAGTGTAGCTTTTCATTATAATTTCCAGTGGATGTATTCGTATTTATCATTGTCGATTTTTCTTTTATTACTTTAGATTTGGTGTTTCGTTCCTCGGTATTACGCATTGTCGAATTTTCTGTGCATTCCTGCACTTCGTTCTTTCTTGTAACAACTGATGTTTTTTTTTTGCCAATAAGATATTTAGACTGCGATTTTTCATTGTCCTTCATAAATTTCATTCTTTGATTTTTCCTATGACCATATTGAATAGTAGATGTCTCATTTGGATTTATAGATTCAGCAACGACAATGCATGCATTGTCATTATCGATACAAGAATCATTTTGTAACATATCCAAATCATTAAAGATCTCTTGTAGAGATTTATTTTTATTTTCTCCCGTAGAATCTGTTATATTGGACATAGATACACTCTGTCAAAAAAAAAAGAAAAAAAAAAAAAAGAGAAAACAATAGAATCGTTATTTGAAAATAATGATAAAAAAAAACAAATTGCTAAAAAAGATCGTAAGACATTATCAAAATGCTATGTTAATACTTCTACGATCATCGAAGGACCAAGACTCCTACGTGTTTCAAATGTATTTTCCTGCATTTTTACTGTACCATATGTCGTTGAATTTACAATCTTGCTATCATTTGAATTGGAAGAAACATTCGTGTGATCTAAAATTATATAAATTATTTGCAAGATTTCTTAAAGTACAATCAATTAAAATAGTGCATACATAAAAATAAGTTATACATTCTTTCATTCCATCATAATTTTTGGATAACATTTTTATTGTTTTCTTAGCCTTTTTATTAAATGCATCGTAATTTTTGTTTTTTTTTTGCTCAAATGCACTAGAAGATGCAACACATTCTGGTAAAGAATTTCTTCTAATGGATGTATCCTTGTATGATTTCTTAAGATTATGTTTATCAAGGTCGCAAGATATATTCATTGTTTCTCTTATCTTTTCAAGAGAAAAATTTTATTAGGATATAATATATAATAATCTAAAATAAAAAGTTGTCAAATGATTTACCTTATATATGTTTTCCCTTGTATGATTACTTAATTAATACCTATTAGTATTTAATACTAATTATGTTTATTTAGTATTGCATATTTTGATAAAGAAAATATATTCTCAGAATCTAACCTTAATAAAAATTCCTTTGATTCTAAAGGTATTGTTTGTCACGGTTTACTGATGAGACATGGCGGGCTCTCGAATTAATTTGAAAATCATGACAACTAGCTTCTTCTATTTTCATTTTATTTAATTGAACGAAAACTTAAAATGTTTTATTAATATTTATTAATCTATAAGAAATTATTTCTTATGAAATTTATGTTAAAATAAAAGATGAAATTTGTTAAAAGTAAAAAATGGAAACAAATTATTGAAAAAGAAAAAAAAAACAAAGTAAAATACGTGTAATTGAAAGAGTTCGATTTCAGATGGCGCTTAAGTAGTTGTTCCGTAAGACAACTTATAGTATTACTTCTTTTAATGAAATACTGATAGCACATAACTGTACTTAGTGAATACATACAGTTTAGTATCTACTAACAAAAATGGAGATACCAGTTACGTATTGTTTGTGTGGTCGTTCTTATGATGCTGAACAATTTATGATACAATGCGATATTTGCAAAGAATGGTACCACGGCGGGTAAGTCTTAAGCAAAAAAAATCCATCGAAAAAAAGACACGTGTAATGTGAAAATATAAAAAATTATATTAAGTAAACGTTTTTAAGATCGTAGCATTTTTTCGATTATTTTAATTAATTTACGATAATACAGAGAATTCTAGAGATTGTATATACTCATAAATATTTTCAAACTTTTCATCCAGAAATATGTATGACTATATACAAAGGAATGTTTGTTGATAGTACCATAACCTATAAATTTGATGATTATGTTATACCTTTCATTAGATTAATTTACTATTTGATATTTAAGTGTTATTTACGTATAAGTATTTTTAATATATTTAATTCAAAGTATTTTCTAAAGGAAAATTTATATATAAATGTATATATATATATATATATATATATATATATATATATATATATATATATATATACACATATATATTAGTTTCGATGACAGATAAGCAATTTTTTAATGTTGTTATTTTTTGTTCAAACAAAGTTTTATTATATTTTTAAAGTTTTCGATATTAACATTGCTTACTTTATATTTCTGCAAAGGTGTGTAACTCTAAAAGAGTACATGTCAATAGACCTTGATAAATATCATTGTCCTAAATGTGAGACGATATGTGGACCGTCTATCAGTAAGTAAAAGGAAATAATTTATCGTTACAATACTAATGTAATAAGATAATATATTTTCATATTTATTTTTCAGTGAAAACTAGATTGAATTGGCATAGACACGATTATACCGAAATAGATGCTGATTCTAAGCCTGTTCAAACTGGAACTCCAGTATTCATTAGAGAATTAAAATCTAGACATTTTCCTAAAGCTGATGATATAGTAAAACACGTCAGGGGACAACAATTAACGTTGCAATATCTACAGACTAATGGATTTGAAACACCTATCATTATAGATGGCAAAGATGGTCTCGATATGAGCGTACCTCCTCCAAACTTTAGTGTTTACGATGTTGAAAGTTATATAGGTAAAATAACATTTTAATGCCTCGAATAATTTTATATAAATATATTAAATATGAAAAATATTTATTTTATATTTATTCATATATTATCAACACAGGTGGAGATCGTGAAATGGATGTGATAGATGTTACAAGACAAAGTAACATTCGAATGAAATTACGAGACTTCGTAGAATATTACAATTCCCCTTGTCGGACAAGGGTTTTTAATGTGATAAGTCTCGAATTTACAAATACTGGGTATATCCATATTCATTGCCTTGCCATATATGGCTTTAATCGTATATAGGACGTATATGTATAAATTGACAAATAAACGTTGCAGTCTTTCACCAATGGTCGAAGCACCATACATCGCGCGCAAACTTGACTGGGTAAACTCTGTTTGGCCACGTGATTGGCCCGAAGAAAGCGATATAAAGCGTCCTGAAGTACAAAAATATTGCCTAATGGGAGTCAAAGACAGTTTCACAGATTTTCATATAGATTTTGGCGGGACTTCCGTATGGTATCATGTATTAAGGGGGGAAAAAGTGTTTTACCTTATAAAACCGACACCAGCAAATTTACAATTATATCAGCACTGGATGTGCAGTTCAACACAGAGTGAAACTTTCTTTGGAGACCAGGCTGATGCATGTTACAAATGCGTTATTAAACAGGGCCAGACTATGATGATACCAACCGGTTGGATACATGCCGTCTTAACTCCAGTCGATTCTTTGGTTTTCGGTGGAAATTTTGTACATAGTCTCAATATTCCTATGCAGATACAGTAAGTACGTAAGTGGGTGTAAAATGTAAATTCTTAAACATTTGTTCCTTCTCATTAACAATTATATTTTATAGGATATATGAGTTGGAAAGAAAGATGAAAACCCCTGCCAAATTTCAATATCCCGGTTTTGAAACGGTTAATTGGTTTGCTGCTAAAAAATTGCTTAAAGAATTGAAAGAATTAAATAACGAAGAGAAAAAATGTCCGTCGTATTTTTTACAAGGTGTTAGAGCGTTATTAAGTATTTTAAAACAATGGAACACTGATAAAGATGTAAGAAAGATATTTATATATATATATATATATTTTTTTTTTCCATTTTATATATATATAGAAAGTAAGAAAGAAAAGAAAACGAAGTTTTTAACCGGTCTTATTTAATATTTTCATATAGTACAATATGATTAGCCGAAGTCAAATACCGGATACGATAAATAGTCAAAAATTATTGAAAGATTTTAGTAAAGAAATACGACATGCGGAAAGATATTTAATATCATTAAATCCTCCTAAACCGGAGCGTGAGAGTAAACGAAAGAAAAAGAAGCCATTGAATAAAGATTTCGTAGATTACGATGTTGCGGATAAAATGGCAGAAAATCCTTTTAAAGCGACATTAAAGGAAACAAATAAAGTTGGAACATTAATTAGCGATAATATACCGACTAATCGGCCACCATTAAAATTAACTTTATCAAAACCCGTTATGTATCCATATGTTAAAAATACGCCGATGGAAGAAAAACATGTTAATAGTTCTACTCAGAAACGTACATCCAAACCAGGAAAACAAAGTCCTACCGTAATTAGATTCAAATTGGGAAACAACGAAGTTGTTAGAAGTACAAACGATAATATCAATTTAAAAAATAATTTTCCATCGAATCATACTACTGTGGTAACGAAAGAACTTGTTTGGAATCGGACATCTGTATATGATTTTCATGACGGTAGTAATGAAAGTGATTACGGTAGATTTACTATAGATGAGTCTCCAAAAAGAAGAAGAAATTCTAAATCTAACACACAGAAACGATTTAAGCGAGATTACGATGGCGACGTTGATGTTCTGAATGATATGCCTAAGAATGGTATCGAAGAATTATTGAAAGCATCAGCGTATACATTGGGAAATGCTCCACAAAGATTAGACATTACGTATGTAAAATATTTTTCTATTTATGCTATTTAATAATTACGATATTATTTTAGTCATATTTAAAATTATTTTAGACCATCCACGATTCCACAGTACAGTCAACCTGTGCCACCACCTCCTACAGGGTAAGTCATTATATACATTTTTGTAAGATAATTTAACGATATAGTGTCATTATAAAAAAAAAAAAAATTATCGTTGGATTATTTAATATACGCATTAAAGTTATTTGTAATAGCAAAGCATGAGAATATAATTATTATTTTGTCAATATAAATATATTTATTTATTCAAATCTAAGTAAACATAATTCCTTTAGCTTGTTTTTAGAAAAAAAAAAAAAAAAAATATATATATATATATATATATATACATATATATATATATATATACAAGTATATAGTAGGATTTTATTTATTCTAGTTTGATTTTATTTTTTGGTGTCTTAGTATTTATAAATTGAAAACGGCTAGTTCTGACAGGGCATCACCATCAACTCGTGAAGCCATTGCCGGAATGTTATCGTTCAGCGAGCAATGTTACTCGACAACCTCAAGTAATTCCACGAAACCAACAAAAATTGAAAAGACACAACGCAATAATGCCAATGATGATGACGATCAATTAATAGAAAATATTGATAAAGTTCATCAGGATGATGATTTTAGTAAGTGAATGGGATATTTTTTGCAAAAATATTTTTTTATAAGATCAATTTAATTATTATTTCCTTAATAATTCTTAGTTTATCCGGCTTTGGATGCTTCTGACGATGAAGATTATATTTTCAAACCAAAAGCAAAAAGTCAGATAGATGAAGCATGGAATCCGAAGGCCAGAGTTGGGCCACTCTTGCCAAAGACAAATCGACCGGCACGAGAAGGAGTAAGGAAAACTTCTGTGGAAAAGGGATTGGAAGCAGCAGCCGCGAAACGGGCAAAACAAGCGGTAAATCAAAATTAATTTAAATTTATTTATTTTTTTTTTTTTTTTTTTTTTTTTTTTTTTTTGTGAAAAACAATTGTTCCATCTTACATGTTATTCGTGCATTAATATATGCAATTAAATAGACATAATCTCTTATTAAGGAATATCTGAAATTTTTCAACATCTATATATATTTTAGTTAATCATTTAGATATGTATATATGATATACTTTCATTATTACGTACTTATATCATATAGGGTGAATATCTGGATAACGACATGGACAAGATTACGAAGAAGAAATTGGTAGGCATATCATGATTCCTTCACATAAGTGTAGTATTCTTTAGATTTTGTTTAATATATGTTAAATATAAATTAAATAGGTAGAAGAAAATATTTGTCATTATTATTACAATTATTTTCTTATTTATTAGATAGATTTGATCTGTTATACAATTAATTACTTTCATTTTCATTCATCTTTACGTGCACGTGTACACTTCATTACGTTTATTTTTGATTATTAGGTTTTCATCATACAGCAAAACAACAAATTATTATTTTTATATATACGAACAAAATCTGTTTATTTGACTCATTAATTATGATTATTATCTACTTCTTATTATATTCTTTAATATCATATATTTATTGATATATTTTTATCTATAATAAAAATAATTATATAAATTACTTGTATGATAGAATACAACGAAGAGGACGTACAATAAGAAAAAGCAAAAGGACACATCTGTTACGTCTGGGCCAACTTCAGTTATACCTATGGAAAACATTGTGAAAACAAGTAGTGGATATGGATCGATATTGACAAGTCCAAATAGGTTGAAAGATGTTAAGGCTAAGTTAGCTGCACCAGTTCCAATTGGTAAAATATTTTTTTATTTTTTCTTTATTAATATTATTATTATTATTATTATTATTATTATTATTATTATTATTATTATTATTATCATTATTATTATTATTATTATCATTATTATTATTATTATTATTATATTTTTGTTTATGAAATATGAACTATAACATTCTCAAATTTTCAGAACGTAAACCTAGAAAAGGAATGAAAACGGCTAAACAACGTTTGGGAAAAATTTTAAAACTTCATAAAATGATGCATTAGATAAAGAACTGACATTGACAATTATAACATCACATCATTCATTCATTGATACATTAAATTCATAATAGATGTAAATTGCTAATATAAATTGTAAATATATATATCGGATAATTCAAAAAGGTGATACTAAACACCTATATTTATTACTATATCGTTTAATAGTTACTTTCTTGTCAATTTCTTCAATTTGTTTAATTTTTTATCGGATTTCTTTTACTTTTTTTTTTTTTTTTTTTTTTTTTTTTTGTTTTTTTTTTTCCTCAAAATGAATCGAACTGTTTTTAAATATTCGTATTATCCTTTAAAATTCGTGTTTTATAATTAATTTATAAAATTTTAGTGTATAATGTGGGGCCTGAGAAAATATAAGCTCAGTGCCTGTATGAATCTCACAGACTAATACAATTTATGTAGTATGACAAGATTTATTAAACTTTTTTTTTTCTTTTTTTCCTTTTTTTTCTGTTTTTTTTTTTTTTTTTTTTTTTTTTTTTTTTTTTTTTTTTTTTTTTTTTTTTTTTTTTTTTTTTTTTTCTTAATATAGGGATATAATATATAATATAGATTTAATTTTAGGACTTTTGTTACTTAGTTTGTATTTATAGAGAGGCTGTAGAGTACAGAAATTGTTATAGCAAACAGAATTTATTATTTTAGCAAGCTAACTCTATATTGTTATTCCATAGTATATTGTATACAAACAATTTTGTCGTCTGAAGAATCTTAATGTTTATTTATTAATATTATTATTATAATTATTATTATTATTATTATTATTATTATTATTATTATTATTATTATTATTATTATTATTATTATTATTATTATTATTATTATTATTATTACTATTATTAATTTGATCGAACATAAAAAAAAAAAACTGTCATGAAAAATAATTTAATATAAAAGAAACTTTCTTAAAAAAATCAGATATATAATTTTAAAGGATATTTAAAAATTTAATGTTAATCTTTTATCTTCACGTCCTCATCTAATGTATTCAGCATTTTATATTTAACGATAAATATAAGATATAAATAATATAAGCAAAAAGATTTGCTTTTATCTCGGGCTTACTCTTTCAGTAAGAGTTTCTCTTTTCTCTTTCAAATTGGCATTAATTAAATAAATAATTATTAAGAAAAAAAATATTAATGTATATCATTTTTCATACTAATTGTAAAGAAGTATTGTAGGTTATAAATTAATCTATAATCACATAATTATGCTTGTAAATATTAAGATGTAATGGTATAATATTCATAAAAAATTTCTCATCGGATATTAGACAGGTACGCATGAAAATTATTAAAATTAAAAAAAAATATATATATATATATGTACTAAAGGGTTGTGACAAATTACTTTTACAATGATTTATAATTGTGTTAGTATAAGTATTTATAGTTAGAAAAAAAAAAGCAATATCTGATAATATGATGAAAAAAAATTCATCGTAGATCTTATTGGATTACGATGTGGCGTATTCTTATGAATTATATGTAGTCACGTTTTTCAATTCTTAGTTAAAAAAAAAAAAAAAAAAAAAAAGAAAAAAGAGAGAAAAAGAAAAAAAAATAATACTGTACATTATATATTATCAAGCGTTTACTTAATAGCAGGCTGTATACATTTATGTAAGATACAATAATCAAATGAGAAAATACGGTGAGGTAAAATTCTGTATAAAATCAAGTGTAATAGATTCAATCAATTTGTATGAATTTTTAATGTCTGGGCTTATATATATATATGATATATATATATATCTAAGAAAATAATATTTAACGAAACTTGTATTTTTTAATATCTTATATCAGCATTATATATATATATATATTCATTATCGCGCATATATATATATAATTAATATATTTTATACTTAGTAGTATATACGCAATATACGATTAATTTTTTTATTGATATAAAAGAGGACTTGAACAACACTTATTTATAATATTTAAATATTATTATTATTATTATTATTATTATTATTATTATTATTATTATTATTATTATTATTATTATTATTATTATAATTATTATTATTATTATTATTATTATTATTATTATTATTATTATTATTATTATTATTATCGTCCAGACGTACTATGACTAATTATATGACTAAGAGGCTGCAGAGAATAATTTTATGCGACGAATCAGATTTATCCGGAAATATATTCAATTAAAAAGCTCTTTGCTACATAATTATAATTATTAATATTATTGTGAAACATACCTCGTTGAATTTTAGATTGAAGAAATGGAATTTGTACTTATGTACAATTCTTGCTCTAGATATTTGTAAAGCGTCAACTTATAAAAGCGTAACATTGTGCATTTACACGAGCAATTTATGTAGATACTTTGCAAAATGACTGATTTGTACACCGAAGCATTGGGCACTGGGAGAACATAAAGGAAAAAGAGAAAAAAAAAGAAAGAATAAAAGAAAGAGAGAAAAAAAAGCTACAAAAACTTATCAATAAGATTTTGTTAAATGAACGTTTTTACTATGTGCTTATATATAATATGAACACCACTGAAAGATCTGATTACGTTAATGATAGATTCTGATAATCAAATTAACATAATATGAATTTTTTATAATATTATGCTTTCCTTGCGAAAAGAGAGATCATATAAGAAAAAAAAAGGAAAAATCTCCTGCAGATACATCGACAAAAAAAAAAAAAAAAAAGAAAGAAATATTAAAATATTATAATATTAATTGTGTACTGCAATCTCTAATGTGTTCAATAAATTATAAATAACACTATGTAAATTATATAATGTATGATTCAAAATATGTTAAACATTTTGAAGCACAAAATCTCAAATAAAACTGAATGGTATCTATTTTCATTAAATGCTTTCTTATTATCTTTTTTTCTTTTTTTTCTTTTTTCTTTTTTCTTTTTTCTTTTTTTAGTTCTAACAAAATCCTCTATCTTTTTTCAATCTAGCACTTTTTTAGAGATTTTATTTATGATTTAATTAATAAAGCATTTATTTAAACATATAAATGCCTTATATATAATTTAAACAATAGAGGATTTGTTTAAACATTATATATATGTGTGTGTGTGTGTTAAGGCAATATTAAAATAAAATAATTTTGATATGAAATTATAATTATTATATATACTATGCATAATATACATACACATAGAGAAATCTTATACTTACTGTCGTCAGTGATTCAGATATATAAACAACAAACGAAGACGCTAGTTACCAACAATGACTTTCAAATGTGATAAGTCAGTCTGCCGTCGGCTTTCGAAGAGTAAACATCGTAGATCTTTCGCCTCGTGCTAACAAATTATTTAAACGATTCTTTCGATTAATTAAACATTTATTTAACAGGTATTTAGAGAACATAATAAATATATTCTTCTAGTTTATTAATTGTTATATAATAATTATTTGTAATAATTAAATTAATGTAATTATTTAACTAATGGAATCATAATTGTTTAAGACAATATATAGGTATTAAAATATTTAGAATATAAGGCCTATTTATATAATAATATTATAAACAATAATAATAGAAGACAAGCTGATCAGAAAATAGTTGACCACCTATTGCGTCTTAATATTTTTGTTTCTTTAAAAAAATAAAAAAAAAAAAGAAAATACATTTGCAACAAATCTTTTGAAATATGTATATATAGAAAATATTGAATATTCAGAAAATATTTTAATAAATAATTATTCGTGAGTATGCTAATAGTATTTGTTGAAAGTATGATACAGAAAATATGTTTCTTTTTGTTTTTTTGTTTTTTATTGTATAGCTGTTTAATCTCCATGACTTATCCAATATGTATAAACTTCAGATGCTTGAGAAAGAGAGAGAGAGAGAGAGAGAGAGAGAGAGAGAGAGAGAGAGAGGATGAGAAAGACATAATATATATATTTTACAAATAAATGAAATATAAAGAAACGTATAATTTTTACAGATTCACAGAAGACGTATTAATATTTTTGTTTGCGACTGCATATACAATATACATTTCGCATTGAAGATAAAAATAATATCTATAAAAATTATTACCAACATATTTTACTCGAAAGAAGAAAAAAAAAATAAAGAAAGGAAGGCAAACAAAAGAAAAGAAACCCGACGTCAAATGCACTAACCTAACAATACTTGTAGGTAAATAATTTTACCGACTGAGATGTGCGTGATGTTGCACAAACAAATCTTTTTAATAGAAATCAGCATGAAATCTCATATTACGCTTATGCAATCGCAATTCTTTTGAATTTTCGTTCTCCAACAAAAAAAAAAAAAAGAGAGAAAGAAAGAAAGCAAAAAATAGTATTTTATTCTTTTACCAGCCATTAATTTTATGTATCATTAATATTTTAACCATTTAGATTATTTTTCTTTTCTAAATATGCTTAATAATAGTAATAATAATAGTAATAATAATAATGTGTGTGTGTGTGCACATAGGTTATGATTAAAAATAAAAAAATAAACGAAGATGCGAATTTATTTTGACGTATAGGTCGAGATCAAGATTAGAAGTTAGTTCAAATTCGCGGGGGGGGGAGGATAGTTATGGTCAGGGACGTGGAGAGGTGGATATGAAGTATTCGAACTTGGCAACGCTGGAACCAGTTCCTGCCACAGTATTCGGTTAGACGCCGTACGGAGCGTTGCGTGTTTCGTGTCGTGTTTCGCGACAGTCGAAATTAAATTTGGAAAAAAAGCGAACGATCGAAAATATTCGCAAATTTTTTTATTGGTTCAGTGATTCGTTTCTTGTGGATAAATTATTTGAGAATCTTACGTGTATCTCGTCAGAAACGATCGGCTTTAAAAAAAAAATATTTCTATCCCACATAATTCTCGTTTATTGTCAACTCGTTAAATTTTACACATGGTAACGTATCAATTTGACGGGAAGAAAAAAAAAGGAAAGAGAAAGGGAATTAAAAAAATCGTGAAATATATAATCGAGATAATCGTGTAACATCGGTTGCAAATCGATAAGGGGAGTGATATAGAAGTGACAAACAGTGTGCGTGTAACGTGCGATTTTATCGACCGTACTTTTATCGACCGAGTCGAAGAAAGCTTTTTAGTTTTAAATTCAATCGAAAGGGGACGTTTGCGTATCTTTGCCGATTGTTTGAGTGTGTGTGCGTATACGTGTGTGTGCGCGCTTGTGTGTGAAGCACGAGGGGCCATTGTGACGTTTTCAAAGGTAGGTGCAATTAAAGAAAGATGAAATTGGAGAGAAGAGAGTATTTACAAGTAGACCTAGTTATAAGAAATAATAATAGATATACATGTGCAGAGCGAGAGAAAAAGAAAACTGATGAATTTTACACTAATATGGCGAATTTAATCGAATCAAATTATTATTTTACGAAGAAGGAAAAAAAAATACTCGTTATTTATTTTTTTTTTTTTTTTTCCATTATCTGTGTGTTCTTTTTTTTTCTTCTTTTTATAAACAATCATCTGAGAAGTTCTACTTTTCATTAAATCGTAATTAATACGAATCTGTGTTAAAATTAATATGTGATAAAAAAATAAGAAAGTCCTGACTCTTGAAATTGAATTGTAAGATAGAGTCATATAAAAATAAGATTCGCGTGGCTAGCAACATAATATAATCACGCATACGAGACAAATGATATAGTCACACAAAAATAATTTGTACTATAGCGATAATATTACCATCTGTTGTACGATATTTATCATGATTGCTCGCAGAAATAACGTCGATTGACTTATAATTCTGAAACGATCAAAATTATCACCATCTTCCACAAAAATAGAAAATAAAATTTACCAAAGGCATATTCTTTTAAAAAAGCATTAAAACAAGTATAAACCATCTTATTTATTCTTTTTTTTTTTGTTTTATTTATATTATTATTTTAACAAACGTTACAACTCGTACACAATTAGACTATATAATAAATAAAAATAAAAAATGAAGGATAGGAGAAATTAAGTAACATTAAATTATACAATCCTTAATTATACAGGGTGGTCCAAAATTCTTTAGATAAGTTTTTAGGTTTTAAAAATTAATTAATCTTTTTTCGCGACCTTTTAAACTTTGTAGTTAGTTTAGTAGTTTTACAAGCTGAACTAGTAGTTTTTAAGTATGAAAAAATAAAAAAAATAAAAGAAATAGTTTAATTCCGAAAATCGATTTTTAAAAATAATCTAGTAACTTTTAATCCAACTTGGAACTTATCAGTTGAAGAGAGAAAGAAAGAAAGAGAGAGAGAGAGAGAGAGAGAGATAAAAAACTAGATGGAAAAATTATAAAAATGAAATTTTGTTGTATATCGAAAGGAGATAATAATAGGTACGGTTGGGTACAGGAAATATATACTCACGAGAGTACATTGATAAGATGAAAATAAGATTGGAAAGTAATTTTTAAACGCCAGTCATCTTGCTGTCTAGTAATGCTGGTTGTTTGGCAAGGAGCCCGCCGTTGCCTGAGTTGCAGCGGGCAGCTCACCAATCAAGGCTGCCAACTAGGCCAGCAACGTCATCATTGTGGGCCAATCGCGGACAAGCTCGATCGGTATCAACTCGTCGATACCCGGTGAGTAGAGTTAGTTGTTTCTGCTTAATCATATTTATATCAGAAATCATTATCGTATTTGTATTAATATAAAGACAATTCAAAGTCAATTGAGTTCGATCAAAACGAAAGAGATAAGTAATGTACATAAAAATTTCTAGAAAACGAGATTTAGGAAAAAGGGAAAAGTTAAACAAAAAAAAAGAGTAGGCAGAATTGTATTGAAAATATTGTGTTTATTTTCACGAAGACAAAAAAAAGAAAATAAAGAAAAGAATTATATAAACGAAATAGATGATTCTAATCACCATTAATGGATTATTTACTATGAAATTGTTCTAATGTGCATCTTATTCTTTTATTTATTTATTTACTTTTGTTTTAATATCATAAGCGTGTAAGAATGATAGGACCTTTGTATATTTGTATATTTCATGTCAATGTACTTACAAGAGGTCGGCCGACTCTTCATGTCACTTATTGACCCTAGCCGATTGATCGCTGTTCAAATCTCTATCGTGGAAAAGTTTTCGCGGTCATTTAAGGCCGTCGTTCATGGTCCATCGACCCGTATCTTTAGACACGACGTATTTGCAATATACTCTAATAAGTCACGAGATTTATCTTCTCTTCGATAATATATTAATTTAGAAAGAAAGAGACTTGAGATTTCTAACATTTTTTTTTTATCTTTTTTCTCTTTTTTAATACATTTTTTCTTTCGTTTTTTTTTTTTTTTTTTTTTTTTTTTTTTTTTTTTTTTTTTTTTTTTTAAATTTTTCCTATTAAGTATATATACAAGACAAATATATATATTATATATATATATTTATGTATGTGTATATATATACGTATATATATTTAAATTCTGTATATATATATACATACATACAGAAAGAGGAAGATAATATTCATTTAATCATTTTCGTATTGTGAAGAGGTGAAGAATAATTGAGAACCACTGTTGCAAGCGATACGCCAATTGCTTTGCAGTGAAGTATCACGTGATCGTACACATTCCTTTTATTGCTTGAGTAATGAAGTAGCGCCGAATCTAATACTCAAATTTCAACTGATTATAATAAAAAGATCAAAAATGTCAAATTTTAATGAGAGAGACGGTCAAGAGGAGGGAGGAAGAGAGAGAAAAGAGAGAGAGAGAGAGAGAGAGAGAGAGAGAGAGAGAGAGAGAGAGAGAGAGAGAGAGAGAGAGAAAATAAATAAAGTCTTTGGAAATTTACTAGCGTTTATTGCGGAGTATGTTTAATATCTTAAAACAGAGAAAAGAGAGAGAGAGAGAGAGAGAGAGAGAGAGAGAGAGAGAGAGAGAGAGAGAGAGAGGTATATTGAACAAAATTCAAACATCAGGATGACGGAAAAAAAAATAAAAATTCCCACATCACGCCACTATCATGGCCCCGATATCGCAAGAGAGTACAATTTCCACTTCCATATCTATTTGTTATTTCTGGGATTTTTTTTCTCTCTCTCTCAGCTTCCTCCCCTCCCATCTCGTGTTTTTTTTTTCTTTCTTTATCACGATGAAATGAAATGTCGAAGAGAAAAAAAAATTCAAGAGAATAGACAAATCTAAGTATACGTTGTCATTATCGGTTCGTAAATCGAGAAGAGAGAGATATAGATAGAAATGGAGATAGAGATAGAGATGATAGAGTTAACTATATGATAACACAATAAATGTCAACACGATTCGCGTAGATTATCAAGGGAATGAAAATAAAGATGAATAAGTAAGTGAAATCATTGGTTCTGATTAATAGAGAGACGATACGAGACGAAACGAGGCGCGACGAAACGAGACGAGACGAGACGAAATGAAACGAAACGTTCGTTTGTGTTCGCGAGCGTAATGCGCACGTTGTAATGTCATAAAAAAAAATCGTCACACGGTTCACGGTCGATCGTGTAAAACCCGCTTAGCTTCGAGTCACCTCGTCAGTCGGCGAACGGACGCAGAAGCGTCCGCATCTCTTTTTGTTTTCTTGTACGATTTTATTATTATTATTATTATTATATTTTTTATTATTATTAATATTTGTTTGCTTGTGTATATTCATTGTGCATATTTATACATAAATATATATATATATATATATATATATATATAAATATATATATATACATAGAATACTCGTAATTTTTTATGCGCGCGTACGCGTGTGTTTGTGTATGTATGTTCAATTTTATTCTTTTTTCGTTTCTGTTTCTTTTTGTTTTTTCATTTCTGTATTAAACCAATTTTTCGTAATTATTCTCTCGAGTTTGTAAAAGCGTTTCGATTTTTATATTTATTACGTGAAATTTTATTTCGAACATTTCTTATTTTCTTTTTCTTTTTTTTTTTGCTTTTTTAATTTTTACTTTTTTTACTTTTTTACTTTTTTCATTTTTCATTTTATCATAATATACAGAGAAAGACTTTCGTATCGTTTAATAGCGAAATAAATTCTCTCTACGAATTATAAGATATATTTCGATATATTTGACAATTAATCGTCGTCCTGTTTACGTACGTAAGATTTGAGGTTAACTTTTGATCGATAATAACGAGAATCAAGATAGAAGGATTTTCACTTTTCTTTCATTTCTTTTTATTTTTTCTAAGTTGATATCTAAAAATAATCGAAAGAATAGAGTGGTACATAAAAGTGTCATTGTGTGTCGGTTTACGTGTATGTGTGCACGTATACGTGCATTTGTATATATTTTAACGTGAACAAAATATTACAATTATTGCTTTTACGTTGGTGAAATAGTGTCGAGGTGAAGGACATCGTGAAAAGAGAACGAAGGTCTTTCGCTCGTACGGTATGTATAACATACTTCACTTTTTTAAAACGCGAAAAAAGTAACATGCGTTTACACGTATGCACGAGCGCCTGCATGTGTTCGTGCCTATGTATTAAATTATTTGACTTTGGAAAATGATCATGGGAATTTTTTTTGAATTGTACAAATACGAATTATTTCATTTATTTCCAACGTAATGAAAAATATGCGACTCCTTTTTTTTCTACATTCTTATATGTTGATTTTGAGGTTAGCTCTAGGCAATCCGTCTTCACCTTCACGTTCGTAAATATCTTTCGTAATTTTTATTGTAAACGTAAACAAAAGGAAAAAAAAAATTTGTTTTATATTTTTTTTCTTGTTACAGTGGTAGTAATCATGACAAGTATGAGCGACTCGAACACGAACTATAGTCGTTCGAAAACTACATCGATTTCTATTGTTATCGATCGATGTATTTCATAAACGTTCTTACATACATGCATACGTTCCTTTTGTAATATGATATAAGAAAACGTATGTCGATCTTTAGATAGTGAATGGAATTTCAAATTTAAAACGTAGTTTACCTTTTGTTACGAAACGTAGTATCAATTCTTTTGATAGGTTAATTTTTTCTTTTTCTTCTCCTTTCTTTCTTTCTTCCTTTCTTTTTTTTCTGTTTAATAAAAATATGATATAACATTCGCATATAATTTTTCATGACGATAATTAATGAATTTTCTTATTAAAATATGTCTCGGTCGATACGATTGTTTATGTAAACAAATTTCAACTCGATTAGTCACCATTTAATAAAGATATTTTTATTAATTAATAAACACAATATTTCGAAAAAGATATATATATATGTATGTATATATATGTGTATATATATATATATATATATATATATATATATATATATATTCGCAATGGCTGCTACAAGATGCTGGAATGATTCGGCGAGTTGGCACGTGGTTATTCTCGGTTATCTTCGGGATTGTACGGACGCATTCGTTGTCTGGCAGTTAGCCCTGTTGCACGTGTCGTGCTCTCAGACAAACCAGTTTGTTCCGGGTCGTCAACGAGTATAGGTCGGTTGGAATTGTTTTGTCGTCGATGAACGAGAATAAATAATGATTTGGCGAAAATAATCCACTAAAGTTGATATTACTAATTAATTGGAATTTTTTAATCGAATAAGAGTTATTTTACGTCTTTGAGTAGTATTAAGAAATAATCTCAGTTAAATTAATCGTTTTGTTAGATTATATGTAGAATATATATACATACATATATACGTACGTATATATATATATTCGCATGTATATATGTACGTATATATAATGGAAATATTCAATTTGATGATATTTTTTCAAGATGGCGTCTTAAAAAGATTCGTACAAAAAATAAAAAAGACAAAAAAAAAGAGAACTGAGGCAATTTTGAATTTATAATAAGTCGTGGTATATTAAAATTATCATTTATTTTTCGATATAATACCGATACAATATAAATGTCGAAAATGAAGTTAAATGATAATTGTTATGTTTCTAAATAATTTATATAGGATAATAATTAATGAATAATGTCAGGTATTTTAAAGAAAAATTTTTTAATGAGTACTATCGAGAAAGAATCATGAAATATGTGACTTTGTTTCATTCTACTGAAATACGTATGTATACATGTGTATATATATGTGTATGTATCTTATTCAGAGAAGAGAAGGTCTTTTAAGATGAAGGGTGGTGGAACGGCAGAGGGGTGGGGAGAAAGATGGTGATAGAAAGAGTGGGAGAGGAGAGCAGGTTTTGGTTTGGAAGAGAGGGCAAAAGAGAGTCAGTCTCGACTTGTTGGTGGTACATGGTTAAGCTCTCGCGAACAGTCATTTATGTATTGCGGATAGACGTCTCGTGCTGTTGGTACTGTGTTACGTTTTCATTTTTCTTTTTAGCAACGCGCTTCATAGCGATCTAATAAAAGATTTTCTCTGTCCGATAATACGTCAAATAAAAATAATACAATTTACATACTTCTCGTATGTAAACTTATTTTTACACAAAAAAAAAACAAATTGTTTTATTGATTTCCTTTTTTCATTGTTTTTTTTTTGGGGGGATTTCTTTGTTTCCTTTTTTTTCTATTTTTTTCGATGTGACTTTTTAATCGAATAGACTTTAATTTTGATCTTGGTTTTTCCGTCTTCGTAATTAAAAAAAAAAAAAAAAAAAAAAAAGTGTTTTCATAGTGAATAAGTGGGGTAAAGAAATAGCAAAAGAAAAAAAAAAGACGAGATAGAAAAAAGTGTATTCTCAAAACGAAAATTGTCGGACGATTGAAGGAACCTCTGATTGGTTGATTTATTCCAGGTACGTTGAGTAGAGCTTTGTTGTATTCCCTCTTTTTATTGGGGGGAGCTTCTCTATCACGTGTTTTAGTCGATTCGTAAACTCATGATTTTCGATCGATCACGCTTGGTTTTTCCCTCCTCCTCCTCCCTCTTCCCACGCTTATTTAGCGTTTAGATTAAATATTTCTTGCGAATATATGATTTTTCTAATTTTTTTTTTCTTTTCTTTCCTTTATCTTTTTTTTTAGTTTTTCCTTCTTCTGTTTCTTTTTTTTATTCTTCTTCTTTTACCTTCTTTCTTAATAAATTACTTCTTCTTAAAACTTACTTTTTCTTTTATAAATATTCGATAATATTAATTAATATTAATAATTATAATTAATAATTAATAATTACTTTTATGTTATCGAATATATCTTTGAGGTTATTTTAAATCTCTCACTCTCTCTCTCTCTCTATATAATATATATATATATATATATATATATATTTGTCTATTTCTCTCTGTCTCTATCTCTTTCATATATAATTTTCTTATCACTTATCAAGATCGTTTCATTTAAAATTAAGACGATGAGGAGATAGACTTTCGTCATTTTAAAGAGCAAATATCAAAGCTATGTAAGTACCTACGTCTTTCTCTTTTAGATGGACTTACGTAATAATATCGACGACGTGCGTTTCGCGCGATGACCCGTCGTACGTCAATTCTATAGTAATCGTGCAATTAAATATATTTATTTGAATTTTGAACGATGACGATATGCCGGCTTTGATTTCCCATCATTTTTCAATAATGTTACATTATTGAAGTCTCGTTTTATTTTTCTCGGAAGTATTATTTGATCTTTAAAAAAGTAAAAAATCAAACAGAAAAAGAAAAAAAAACAAAGAAACAAAAGAAAAAGAAGAGAGAAAAAAGTTGACGTTAGTATAAAATGTTTATATATTATTTATTAATAGCTCGTAAGATCTTTATTTGTAAAGTATTAAGAATCAAGGATCGTGATCCTTTGCATGATAGGTTAGAATGATCAATATTTGATCACTTTTTGTTTTTTCTTTTTTTTTCTTTTTTTTTTGGCCTTTTTTACTTTGAGAGTAATCTGCAAGGGAAAAAAGGAAAAAAGAATTTAGAAAGAAAAGTATCGCATTTTTTCCTTTTTAAGAGATTGTGAACCTACGTTGAACATTACGACGTGTATTGGATTAATTCAACCCTCCGACATTTCAATGTAACTTCGTTCGTAGGTCGGTAGTCAATATCGTTGAAAGTATACTTTAATCAAACGGATATTATATAGACGTATAGGTTATGTCGCGCGGTTATAATTTTTTTTTCTTTTCTATCCGTATTAAAAATTAAGACGAATTTTTTGTAATTAAAATCAGAACACTTATGATCTACTCACTCTATTCTGAAAATAGTTTTTCTTTTCTTTTCTTTTTTTCCTTCTTTTTTTCTCTCTTTTTTTTTCTCAAAAAATGTAATTCAAGACTGCGTAAAAATAAATTTGTGTAAGCGCGCATTATATATACATATATATATATTAAAAAAAAATTTCATTGGACGATTCGAAATATAACAATTCTTTGTTAACATATTCAACATAGATTTAGCGCGGCAATGTCACAATTGAAAACTTGCCAAAATTGATTTTAAACTAAGTTACAGGGACGACGAACGTTATTATTAGATTTAGATGTTAGATAGTAGGGTAAGACCAACAAACATATTTTTCGATATAAACTTTCGTCACTTTTCTTACTTTCCCTAATCAATCTTTTTTTATCGGCTTTTTTTTTTTTTTTTTTTTTTTTTTTTTTTTTTTTTTTTTTTTTTTAACAATAATCGTCATTCACTGATATTCGCCATTTTGATTGGGTCTGTTCGCAAAATAAAGATGATATTTTGTAGGATGGTTTCTGGAAAGAAGAAAATGAGAGAAAGAAAAAAAGAAAAAAAAGAGAAGAGAGGAAAAAAAGATAAAACATATTCAACGTTTATTCGAGTATACAAGATGCTGGATAAAATTAGCCTTAGAAAATCATAGGGGTCGTTGAAAACATTTTCTTCTCTCGTCCTTATCCGAAGGTCGAGAAATCGAAACGAATGTCACAGTAAAAGAGAAGAAGAAATGTTAGGTTATAAAACGTTAATTCAATTTTAATGGGTTACCGACCAATAAGATTTTACGATAATTATTTAAGATAAGAAAAAAGTTTACGTAAGATTTAATAATTAATGGATCGATCAGATTTCAATGTTTTAAAAAAGAGAAAGATATCATCGTCGTAATAATAAAAATTATGTTATATCGATCGTCATTTTTATTTCGACATTTGATTGAAAGATATTTCACAAACATTGTGTAGTAATTTGATATTTCTTTTTTTTTTATTTTTTTCTTCCCGCGCAAAATTAGCCATGAAAAATCTCATATAAATATCTATCAGAGTTTATAAACGATTCAGAGAAAGCGGATACGAAGCGGACGTGCCCCCAACGTAGAATCATTTTTATTGGTCGATTTTGTGGGCGTCGTACGCAATACGTTCCGTCATTGGCTCGACCAGTTGTCGGATGAGAGGCTCGGCTTCTAGGGGTTCTCAATATTGTGAGAGGTACTCACGTTACATTAAAACATGTTGCGTTAATTTCTTCGAATCTTGCATCACATTTTCTATTCGAAAATTATAATTATTTCGACTGTCTCTATTTCTCTCTCTTTCTCTCTCTCTCTCTCTCTCTCTCTCTGCCTCTATCTCACTTTCTCTGTAATATGTATTTGTTTCTTTTCTCTCTAATATGCATTTGTAAATATTTATAGTTGATTAGTTTCAAATATCGATGGAAAAAATTCAAAGGATATATATTTTCAAATGTAAAATGCATTCTTTGCATTCATTTTTAATAAAGAAAATTTTATTGTGAGGATTAACAATATTTTTATTTTTTTTTTTTCTTCTTTTTTTAATTTTTGATTTTATAAAATTCGATGTTTCATTAACTTTCGGTATAATTTTTTTCTTTTTTTTTTTTTTTTTTATTTTAATTTTTAATTTTTTTTTCTCTTTGCCTTTTGTTACAGATTGACGACCTATCGCGATGCGGCAAGAATTACTGAGTATGTATTGAACAATACGCTTATATTTATTTATTAATTTCTTTTTCATTTTTGTCTGCTCATTGTTTTCTACAGAAAAGGAAAAAGAAAGTATTTAGAAAAATTGCCGCTAGTCTTTTTTTTTTCGATGGTTCCTATTCGTTGAAATTTTTAATTACTTTTTTTTAACGATATCAATCTGCTTATTTAAATATTTATATTATGTATATTACTAAACAAAATTCATTGGACTATCGTGCTCCTGTTCTCTAGAATAAGTGATGATAACGCTATTTATAATGATCATAGAGATTAATCGTGTACACATTATTCTCAATGTCAAGGATTTCTGTCTCTGCACGTGACCACTCACGCATACACGCGGAAGTAATTGAATATTTTATTATTCATTTTATTCCGAGGTTTCCTTAAATCTGTGTTTTATCTTACGAATTCATCATGATAATAATAATAATAATAACAATAATAATTCGTTCGTATTATTATTATTTTCATTATTAAAATGAAAGAATTTTATAAATCGTGTTTACAATCGACATAACCAAAGAAAGAAAAATAAGTCGAAAAAATATCAAAAAATTGAGTTGTTTTTTTTTCTCAACATTTTTTTTTTCTTTTCTTTTTCCTTCTTTTGTTTTTGTTTCTTTCTCTCTTTAATTTGAGAACCATCAATCGATCGAATTCCTTTAACGGACGTAGGACGCACACGCGCGTACTACGTATGATTTGTTCGACAATTTTAACGAGGTACTCGTCGTTCGATCTATGATTGGTCATTGTGACATTTGACGTCAGAGTATTTAATGAAATAATCGCTGACCTGTCGATTTAGATTTTATTATATTGCCTTCTTCCTATTATATGTTAAATGTAGATTAGATTCTCCCTTATCTTTCTATGATAATTATTAACAAATTTGATTTAACTTGATTTGATTTTTTTTTTTTTTTAATTACGTATTATTATGATTATGATTGTTATTATTATTATTATTATTATTATTATTATTATTATTATTATTATTATTATTATTATTATTATTATTATTTTATATCGAAGAATAATTTTCACATATTGCAAACATAACCTATAAACAATATTGATGACAGATATTTTGATAACATTCTTGATTTATGTTCGTGAAATTGTTCGTAAATTTATTCGAAGATTCTCCCAATCATCTTAAGTTTAAATTTAGCGCGAGATTAGTGGTGACACATTGTAGACTTTGCTTACGCATCGGTCATCACGTATACCACTTTTCTTTCGGAAGGTATTTGACATAGCTTACGTGCTATATTGCACACGTTAATCTCGTCGGTAGATGGAGATCGTATTTTTATTGTTTTAATTCAAATATTTATTTAAAAAATTCTAACTTATAGTAATTCTATAATAGAAATAAATTCTAACTAATAATAATAACTAACTATTATAATATTTAATAATTATATGTGTAATATATATATTATAATTATTAAGTAAAATATTATTTATTGTATATATAATTATATTAGAGTAAATTGTAGTTGATTAGATTGGGCAAACTTTATATGAGTTAATTTAAACTAAAAGATAAATGCGTTGAATGAATTGACTATTCGAATTCAATTAGTCCACTGGAATCTTCGTTCAAGGCCAAAGTCAAAAACGTCAGGCAATAAAATAGAATACAAAACCGTGTGTCTGTTAGCTTCGAAAAAAAGAAGACAAAATAAAGATGGGCTTCTTGGTAATACAAATGAGATGAATGAGCGTTTAATAAAATTGTCGTCGAATAAAAGTGTCCTTGGTATTTCGTCTTTCACTTGCAAATTTATTGTCAATTTAATATTTTAACACGTTTTCTTTCGTTCGTGTCAAGAATGATAAAACTGTCCGTAGGTATATGAAAAAGAATTTCTATATTATCGATCGTCGGTAACGATCGACAAATTATCGAGAATGTTTATTTTACGATAGTGTTTCATAAACTCGTCAGGTGGCGACACTCTTACATTCCATATATTAAATCTGAAAAAGAAAATATTCTACAATAAAATCATTATCTCATTCGAATTTCTCGTTTATCTTCTTTTATATATATATATATATATATATATATATATATATATATATATATATATATATCATTGATAATAATAAAACAGTCAAGGAAAAGTTGGATTGATAGGACTTCTTTCAATTTTGTCACGTCTCTTAAATATGTATATAAAAAATAAAAAAATAAAAAAATAAAAAAATAAAAAAAGAAGAAAAGAAAAAAGGAATTCAATAACAGATAAAAAAAATTCGCTTTTTTTATGGTCATGCGTTTTACATTGGATTATCGTAACAAAGTGGATAAATAATGACGATTACTGTTATCATCGTAAATTATCATTGCATACGTTGTAACATGACGTCAAAGGAATTTTATAGACGTCAAACGTACGAATCACGTTTTCATCGATATTATTACATTGCGTTTATAAACATATGATGGTGAGATTAGGTAAGAGAAAGAAATGACTATTCTGCGATCTGTTGCATGAAAATATTCGAGATGACTGACGACGATTAGTTCAAAGGAAGTTAACGAAGATCTACGGAAATGTACGAAAATGTACGAGAATATACGTTATCGAAACTTGTAATCGTATTTCTCTCTCTCTTTCTCTCTCTCTTTATAGTTCAGGAATGTGAACAAAGATAGAGATAGCTTGCGTCGTGGGCTTCGATATGTCGTCTTCTTCTTTCTTTTAGATTGACTTGTACTAATCTGTCGCAATTATATGCAACCATTACATAACTTCATTCGTCTTCTGGTATTACACACGTTATATCGTTCTTTTTATTATTTTCTTTTTATTTATTTTTTATTTTTATTATTTTTTTTTTTATTTTTTTATCTCTTTTTTTATTTATATTGTCTTCGTACCTTTTAATGATCGTACCACGAATGTATTTCTTTCGTTTCTTTTTCGTTATTTTTAATGAAATTTTTGTTGTTTATCTCTATCAAAATTATTTCTTTTTCTTTCTTTTTCATGTAGGATCTTTTCTTTTCTTTCCTCTCCTTATTCCTTTTTAACATCAATGAGCTTAAATGCAAAACAATTACCATTAGTTTCTATTTTAAATTGACATTGATAGACGTGAAGAACTTAACTAGTCAAGGTCTTCTTGATTTATAACATTTGATATTATCGACCGTCGATAATGCGATAAATTCCTTCTTCCTTTTTTTTTTATTTTCTACGATGTGTGAAAGTATTATTTATTATTATGTTCTCTTTATATTATAACTGATTATGGATCGATGATTGTTCATCCTTTCGTACTTTATAATTATCTTTTTTAATTATTTCGGAAGAAAACCATGCACTATAATTTCTCTCTTTATCTTTCTCTTTCTATCTTTAATCGCATAATGGCACCTGTTACATTTTCATATCTAATAACAGCTGTATATTAGCGAATGAAAGAACGAAAGAAAGAAAGAGTGTGAGTGAGAGAGAGAGAGAGAGAGAGAGAGAGAGAGAGAGAGAGAGAGAGAGAGAGAGAGAGAGAGAGAGAGAGAGAGAGAGAGAGAGAGAGAGAGAGAGAGAGAGAGAGAGAGAGAGAGAGAGAGAGAGAGAGAGAGAGAGAGAGAGAGAAAAGACTTCGTGATAAATTGCGCATATTTGAATTATTTAATGGCGTGTTAATTATGGATTCATCAATTAATAATACGTTCATTCTTGATAAGAAAATTTTAAGTATCTGTCGATAAAAAAAAAACTGACTTTTCTTTGATTTTTTATTTGCGATATGACACGCATCGAACATTTTGTTTATCAGAAAAGGTAACAATGGAAATGAAATGCAACAAAAATTCCGTTCCTCTTTTTAAAATTTTTCCTGTCTTTTTCCTCTATCGATTTTTTTTTTTTTTTTTTTTTCTCTCGTTGATCGATATTATCCGTTGGATTGCGCATATATTAATAATATTGAAACGAAAAGGATGATTTATTTGATCGTGTAGATTTATTTTTATTTTTTATTTTCTTCTTTTCTCTTCTCTTCTTCATTTTTTTCCCTTCTTTCTTTCTTTTCTCCACTCTTTTCTTTTATTCCTATCATTAGTAATTAATTAATTCGTTCATTTACTTATTTATATATTTTTAAATAATTCAAGTAACAAACAAAGAAATACTATATATATATATCAATATATTAATATTACTAATATAACTATAATAATATTACTAATACATTTATATAAGGCATTTGTATTTTTTTCGTTTGCTCTGAAAAATGAAAATCGAATTCAACGATTTGTTAAATAATATAAAGGAAGAGATTTTTTATAGTTCGTTATATCTACGCGGAAGATATTGTTATTATAGCCCTTAGCTATTAATGTTACACGTGTTACTAGGACAAAAAGAAAAATAAAGATTATCGCTTTAGCAACCATTATTTCATTGACTATTTTTAGTTAGGATATAGGTCACGCAACGAGAGAAAGAGAGAGAGAGAAAGAGAGAGAGAAAAAGAGCGGGGAGAGAGAGAGAGAGAGAGAGAGAGAGAGAGAGGATATGCAATAATAAAATGTAATCAAATTGCATGAAATACGAATAACTAGTAAAATTCTAACTGCAGAGAATTAAGAAATATTAACGCATTATTATATGGTGCATATATATACATATAATATAAAAATTATACTATAGTATAATAATATTACAATGTTCAGATAATTCAATTTTCTTTTTTAATTTAACAAAATAGAGTTTTATTAACTTACAGAAAGATATAACAAAGAGAAAAAGAAGAAAGAAAATAAAAAGATTACATATATATATATATATATATATATATATTCTTTTTTTAAATATAATTATAATGTAAAAGAAATAGAATAGATCAGATTATAAAGTGTGTTTAAATGACGAATTAAAAATTGATTATGAATTGCGTTTATGATTGTGTAAAAAATTCCACGATCAGTTTTTTCAACTTTTCTTCTTCTTTTT